GATTTGTCAGATGCCACAGCGTATGACTATCGTAAGTGATTCGATGACTGTAATTTGCAGACATTCTCAAGATCCAAGCAGCACAATGACCCCTTTCTAATCCCCCCTCACCACCCCTGCAGCTTGCCTACGCTTCCCAGTATCAACAAAAAGACATCAAGTGGTGTACGCGTACAACGGTAGGCTATGATGCTGGTGATACACGCAAAAGAAGGCGTGCACTAGATATAGGGATAAGTAAGCTTCAATTCTGGTCTTCTCCCAGCTATGATACTCCGTTAAGTAATACGTGGACAACTTGCCAGTGGGTTTTTACTCTTAGCTCCGAGAATTTGTCCAAAGTCGACGTATTGGTTCCAAGAAACTGGTCATTGGCAAGTACAAGTTGCAGGTTGGAAGCAAAACAACTGCGACTGAGTACACTGTACATGCCATCTCGTTGAAATTCGCAATGGGATAGAATGGTGCCCATAATATCTGTGATCAATCAGCGTCACTTACTGTCGATTTTTGATCAGCAGATAGATCCCATGCAGCGAGTTTACACAAAGCACGCACTAAAGTGACGAACATGCCTTATCTTGACTACAGCATTTTAAACGAGTACGAATGAGCATAGGTGCTCCGGATCACCACAAGAAGGTACAAAGCAACAAAGTATTGGCAATCTCAGATACAGAAACTCGCCATCGAGAGCAAGTGTGTACACGTGTAGGTCACGAGTGACCCGCCACATTTTTATCGCACGTTAAGCAGATGCTGCTGATCATGACACTCTTGTGGAAAGGCGGAGATGTCAACGGATCAAATGAAAAGCCAGGGCGTCGGAACGTGTCAACAAAAAGCATCAGGAAGAGTAACTTCAATTTAAGTTGTACAAAATCTGCCGGAATATTAGCCTTTCAAACTTTCAACGAACCAATTCGAATCCATTTCAAAATGACTTTGCTAATGATTGGAGCGACTGAAGGTAGATAGGAGCAACATCAGGGTTAAGTTAAGATTCCAATCGATCAGGCGCTGTTATCCATTATGCACTTGCGACCAGGTACAAAGCATACAGCCTCTAACAACGACGGATGCTCTGTCCGCGATAATCATCATTTCACAATCGTATAACCACCGACAAGATCAGCTGCAGTGTTAACGTGGGAAAGCCATACCGATTTTCCAAACAACTACAACAACAGTACTAAATCCGTGAGACTGTTTAGCTCACCAGTACGGGTCACATTAGGAAGAACAGGTACGTGTATTTGTGGCTATTTCCGCAAGGTTGTTACATTAGCGCCTAGGGACGTCCGCGCACATTGCAAAAGGTTGCACTACCTTCTGCTTTGATTCAAGAAACATCGATCACCTCGCACATCCGATGGATCAATTGTAGGTACAAAGCTGTGTGAACAGTGTTGCTAGTAGCGAGTGCAGTAGATTTCGCCATATGAGTTTGGGGGGAGGCAGGAAGGTTGTTTTGGCGGATACGTTTTTGGCAGCCGTCGTGGTGAACAACAAGTTATGGTGGTGTCGATCGTATCAATTAAATTGCAAAACGTTTACCTGATTAAGACGTGTACAGTCCTCATCTCGTCGAAAGTAAGAAAGCAGGCTGAGCTACCAATTAATGGCAGAAATCAGTTGCAAGAGCACTGCGCGAGTGAGTACAGCTGTAGATTACAGATACGATGCTACCACTTCTACTGTCTATTAACTGATGTCATTGGCCGGAAGACAACTCGATGGTGTATGCATCACTTACGAAGGCTTCTTTTTGTTAGACGCTTTGCACTTGAATTTAATTCGAGATCCGTAGTTCTTGGGCAGACAATAGCCAAGGCCTGTCATTGTGATTGCTTAACAAGAAGCGGACGTACCTAAAGATAAGCGTCAGATTACACACAGCTTGTGCATTGCATAAGGTCACCGATCAGGAGCGGCAAGCTGCCTTCAATCACGGACCTTGGAGTTTAACGGAGAGCTGTTGACATCGTGAAGCCCAAGACAGGGACAAAGTCAGCGACAAATGGTGTGTCTTCACAGCGCAGGAAGACAAAGTGTCGCGCTTGATTACAGCCGAGCTTTAAATCGTGCAATACGAACGGTACCGAAAACTACGAAGGAGATAACGCGTGAGCAATTTATTTTACTAGTCAAAATCTCACTTTTCGTCGTCATCAGTCTCCGCGTCTGTCGCACGAGCCGTATTTGATAGCGTTTAACCAAGTCGCCGTTCGAAAGTTTGGTGTCTACCACACTATTTTTGGCCGCAACGACATCGACCTGTCGTAGCGTGCCATGTCACTGTTTTGAATCCAAGAGCTCCTGCCCCGAATGTACAGCACACCATCGACGTGTCGAAGAAATGGTGCGGAAGGGCCGCGTCAAGGACAACGTCGCTGGCGAGCGCTATGACTCGAACGCCAGATCTCTTAACCAGCCGCCGCCCTCGAGTCACTCAAGGCCTCAACCCAATGGGGGCAACATGGGGGACCTCATGGGGATGTTCGGCGGGTCCGGTGGCGGTGGCGGCGGGATGCCGGATATGTCCCAAATGATGGAAATGATGCAGGGAATGGGTGGAATGCCCGGAATGGGTGGAATGCCCGGAATGGGTGGAATGGTTCCACCTATGGATGCTATGCGTCCCACGGTTATTTACGCTTACGGACTGGCCGAGGGTAGTCCTACCTCGACGTTCTATACGTTTTACCCCAACTACTTGGACAGCAAGCGAACGGTGCAGCAAGGACGGCGCATCCCCAAGTCGATGGCCTGTGAGGCTCCAATTGCTGATGAAATGTCAGAAGTGTGCACGTTCTTGAAGCTGCCACACGTGCTGGAGCCGACCAAGAAGTACCCACGGGACTGGCTTGTGGCTGGTCGCATTCGCGTGCGTCTCGTGCGTGGGGATGGCTCGCTGGAGAACCCTGAGCTTCCCAACCGCAAGGCGTTAATGCTCAGGATGGCCGACTTGATCCCAAAGCTGCAGTCCCGCAAGGTGCGGTTAGAGAAGGAAGCTGAGGAGGCCATAACTAAGGCAGCAACAGCTGCTGCTGGCGGAGTCACGACGCCCTCTAGTGGCGGAAAGAAGAAGGGGAAGAAGAAAGGCAGGAGATAGATTGCAGCGTAAGAGGTCTTTGGAAAGAAAATGGAGATAGGAGTAGGAATAATCACAGGTGAGAGACGCCCGACCACAAGCTCTTGCAATGAGATTCAACACGGCGCCGTTTAGCCGTCAGATTTGATGTTTGTAGACACACGGACTTGGTCATTCGACGGCCACTGGTGGTCGAATGGAACACCCCGATATGTTTAGTGGGCGACTGCAGGGCCGTGCGATCTACCCCTACCTCTGCCACGTCCACGACCTCCAGGCGCAGCAGGACGTGCAAACTCTCGCGGCTTCAGCTGCTCCTCAGCGGTGGAAGGCGCGACCACCGACCGGATCTCGTCGGCTGCACTGCAAGGAGCATTGATCTCGATCTAGAAAAGCAAGAAACCATCATCAGCTTCCGTCGAGTTTAACTTCCAAAGACTAGCTGCTCACAGTGTGGTCAAATGTGATGTGCAGCTCTTCCCTAGCAACGGAGAGCACTGTAGCTTTGCATGTCGAGTAGACCATTTTCAAACGCACTGGTGAGTCCTCTGGGCACACATACAGAAATACTATCGCACACAAACACGATTAGCATACCACGTGACCAAAGAGATCAAGGGTCAACATACTCAAAGCAGACGAAGCATCCGACGTTAGCGGGCCACGATAGCGATACGCTACAAAGCTTGGAGTGCGGTGATCAAGTACCGTGGGCACGTCAATGAGGTCGACGTGCTCAAGACTCTTGACAACCTCGACACGAACGTTATCGTCGCTCAGTTTCTAGTGCAAGACAAGCAAACAACAGCAGCATCCTCGTCATCAGCAACCATTCTCCTTCATCAGCGATAGTAACAGTAATAACAACAACAGCAGTAGCAGCCTCTCGTTTCATCACGTCACCATGGCAATCCAGTCAAACTTGTCGTCCTGCAGCAGTTTCAGCTTCTCCCGCACGTTCTGCGTGATCTCAAAGGGCACGACGCCCATGGCACTCGACTTGACGTTAGTATCCCGCTCCAACTTGGCCGTTTCTTTCAACAGCCGTTCTGACTCGGACAGCGGCGCGTCGGCCGCATGTTTTGTCCTCGCCGCTAGAAAATTCTCCCACGTTACTTCGCTCTGCACCACAAATGAACACACAGACAGAAAGACACATACCCACATACCAATAGTCGCAATCGTCCTGATTAGCATTAATTCCGATTGCCCTCTTTATCTTTATAAAACAACAGGCTTAATAACCGAATAAAAGACTCAGCAACAGAGTTTGTACCAGTTCCGTGGCGTGGAATTCCCCGGAAAAGTAATTCAATCCCAGCTGTTTCTTGAGCGAATCACGGGAGGACGAATACAGCATCCGGTCCCGCACACTCACACTCTCCGGTACAAACGCCAAAAGGACCCAACGCAAAGCTGAGACGTTTGTATCGGGACACAGCAGCACAAATGCCGCTTCGTCGGCGCTTAAACACGACGCAACCAAGTGCGCGACATCGTCCCGAGGAGCTGGAGTTGCAGGCCCTACCGCACTAAGTACGAAAGACTCGGCGTCGATCGAGACTTTGACGTAGCGCAACTTGCCACTTTGTGCGTCGGCGAACGCGCGCTCGAGCTCAGCGCTAAGGAGGAGATTGGCACGCGCCATGACGACTAGTGGGTACAATATTAATTTAGAGAGCGATTTTGTGATGGGATGGAATCAGATATTTCTGATGCGACGAGAGGAGGTCAAGGGTACATGAGTGTCTGATACCAAATATGATGAAACAAACAAGATGGATACATCGGACGTCATGACTATTCACTTGCTTGTTCAGGAGGACCAGACAGGCTCATTACAAAGAGACAAGCACTGGAAAACTGTTGCGACTCTTTCTTCTTTCCTTCACCTTGCAATGACCGTTCACTCGATCGTTTTGCAAAAAAACTAAGCATCAGAACAGACAAGAGCATGAGTACAGCTGCAACAGAGCACTTCCCACGAACGAAACTTCTTTACGTACCGCGTCGTCAGCGTAGGCAAATTCCAAGCAGTGCAAGGCTCCAGAGAAGAGTCGGTCTCGCATGGCGGCGTTCTCCTTCAGGCCAAATATGATGATACGCGCTTGAGTCAAGTAATCGTCGTTGCTCTCCTTGAATCGCTCAAATAGTGCTGCCTGCACCACAAAGACACCAGCGCATTAGAAAGAACACGTCGTCGCGGCTGAGTAGCACTGTAGCACAAGAAAGCACGCGCTGATTGTACCTCGATTTCTTTCGCCAGATCCGCACGCTTCGACCCGTCGTGATCAAGAATTTCGCTCAGCATTTCCACAAAGATCGATCTATTCTTGTCCGTGTGTTCTGGCGCTTCAAACATGTCCACGTTGTCTTTCGCTGCACCATTCACATGCTTATCTACCACCACCGACGGAAGGATCGATTGCTTGTCCAAAGATGATACGCGTTTCTCAGCAACTTCCTCAGCGCTCGCCAATGTGTCTCGCAAGTGTGCATTCTTATCAGCAACATCTTTAGCAGGCTGGACGAGCAACTTTTCCTCCGTCTTCACAGCGCTCCCCTTTGACGACGCCCCTTCCGCTTTCTTTGCTGTTATTGCTATCGAAGGAAGCGTCGTAAAATTCGGTGAGGGTTCTTCGGCGACCAAGTCTGCTATAGCGGAAAAGGAAGAACCGGTCATAGGCTTTTGCTTTGGCTCATCTACCTTCAAGCGGCTGCCGTTTTCAGCCTTTCGCTTCTTCGTGCCTTGCTCAGTAACATCGTGCGGTCTTTTGCCCAAAACAGTTGTACTGTCTGTATCGCTGCTCAGGATGTTGATCATATGCTTTCTCAGTGCGCTTGCCGTGTACCCAACAGTGGGGCTCAAGCTCTTGCGCAATATCGCAATTATAGCAGCAAGACCCGACCGCTCCACGTCTGAACGATACATGAGCGTTTCCTTGAACAACTCTTGCATCATGCCAACCAGCTCATCATTATTCCGCGCCGACTCTTTTGCCTGTAGCCGTGCCATTTTGCTTGCAAACAAACCAAGGTCGCCCACCTTGTACTTGCGTTTATCACTCGTCGTCTTATTCTTCAAAGAACCCAGTTTCTTCTTGGCAGCTTCGTCCGTCATCTCACGAATGTCGGCTGACTTTACGGACTTATGAGGGACCACAAGCTCGATCTCCTTTTTTCGTTTACTATCGATTTCGGCAGAGCCTTTTGATTTTCCATGCTTCACAGAAACTGTCTTTTTGACAGATACCCTGGAACCACTGGCAGTGCCATCACCTTCTTTCATCTTCGGCGTCTTACGACTCGCCACCTTTGCCTTGATTTCCTCCTTACTAAGTGTCGGACCAGTGGTATCATCTTCTTCTTCGAGCGTACTCACAGAAGCTTTTTTGCCGTCGTTTACATCTGCTGACTCGTCTTTTTTCTGTCGCTTTTTTGGTGTTTTCTTAGGAGCAGTCTTGACCGCTGTCTTGTTCTTCGGTGGTCGGCCAGGCTTCCGCTTGACCGGTACAGGCGTCACGACCAGCTTCTCCCTCTCTACGGGTCTCATGAGACCATTTGCTCGATCCTCAATCGGTAGCTTTGTCTCTATCTGCTCACTCACACGCCAGAGAGCAACCACAACGCATTAGTCTTGATCAGACTACACATCTTCTTCTCCTGCACCTATCGAGGTAACGTACATCTGCTGCTGCAATGGCCTTCATCAATTTCTCTCGTCGCTTAGGCGCCTTCGAGTCTTTCTCCGGGTACCCTTCACGGTACTTGAACTTAGTATCATCCCACGCTTCAATCCACTTGAAACGAAACAGGAGCACTACACACACCACACACACAAAAAACGACAACGACAATATACATGAGCGCCACCACCCCTTCCTTTTCTCTATCCCTTCAGACAATAGGATCCCCAGTAGCTTCACAACTACTCACAAGTTCTTCGAGACGTAGAAAAACACAAGGTACTTGGTCTCCAGCACTTTCACAGCGGTTTCCTGCAGCTTTGAAGAGAGCAGTCTCGGGTCCGTGATAATACACGGCCAATACGGGTAGCCTCCCATTTTGGCCCAGACAATCTGGCCAAACCTGCCCTTGATCTCGTCACTCAGCGCACCAACCTTCCTCTCCACCTCCTTTTGCTCTTCATCAACGTCGTCGTCGTCATCGTCGTCCGACTGCGGCGTCTTCTTCCTACGACCACCAGTCTTGGGTTCCTTTTTACTCGTTTTCACGCGCTTCTTCGGCTGCTTCTCCGGCTCCGACTCGGTGTCCTCTTCCTCGACCGGTTTGGACGGTCCACCTTTCTTGACCGACGCGCGGGGGCTCTCTACAGCGCACGCTTTCGCCTCGACGGGGACCACCTGTTCACTGCTGGCTTTGCGCTTCAGTACAAGCTTCTTCTTGGCCTCAATTGCTTCCGACGGCGCCACAGTCGCCTCGATCGAGATCTCTCCTTCCTTCTGCTCGGTCTTTGACGGCGTGGCAGCGGCTGTAGCCGTCGCTAGAGCCGCTTTCGCTGCCGCTTCTGCGTCCTGGTCGCCGCTCATGACGTCGTTGGCGAGCGTTTGTGTTTTTACGAGTGTTTCTGAGGTTTTTTAGCTCCTCGTGGTGCCTCGATCTTTGACGGTTCTTTTTCGGATGTGACCAAAGATAGTGTGGTTAACACGAAGTATACAAAGTACGCGCGAGGGGTTCGTCGAACCTGGTTAGGGACTCGATTAGGGAAAAGAGGAAGGATTAGGGAGTCGGAACGCTTTATCGAGTGGAGTGACATGACTTGCAAATGTATTAACAGCGGCGCCACACTGTATCAGCAGGAGCTAGTGGTCGCATTAACCAGGTGCCATCGCATAACACCGTCGTCTATTCCATGCATCCGCTTCTGCACAGCAGTGACAACACTTCCATTCTACAAGACCCACACGCACTCTCTCTCTCTCTGCTCGGTCACGGAAAAGAACGAGCACTTTGCAGCATACAAAGCACGTGGCTCAGCACCATCTCATCCACTGCCCGTCAAGGGATGAACGGTGACCACCCTATTCCCAGCTGCTGGACGCAGCAGGAGGGACCACAGCGTCCCAGTTAGAGCTACTCGCTGCGGCACCAGCTTCGCCAGACCACTCCGAGTTGCCAGCCGGAGACGCCTCAGGAATACCCGCAACAGGCACTGAAGGCTCCGCCGCGTACATCGACGGCTCAGCAGGAGTCTGCGAAGCTTCACCCCATCCAATGCGAGCTGGGGCCTCTTCAGCTGCAGTAGCCTGCGCTTCTTCGGCCTTCTTGAGCTCCTCCGGGTCGCGGTACAGGAACAGGTCAACGACCACGTCCCACGGCAAAGAGTGAGAGATCGTACCACGCAGACGCAGCACCTCACGCGCAAGCAGCCAGTACAGCAAACCGATCGAGAGCTTGCCCTTGTTGTTGGCTGGGATGGCCACGTCCACAAACTGCAACGGCGAGTCCGAGTCACAGAACGCAATCACGGGCACGTTTACAAACGACGACTCACGCACGGCCTGTGAGTCGGTGCGCGGGTCCGTGATAATGAGCAGACGCGGCTCGCGGAACTGCTTGGTGATCTGATTGGTAAACGTACCAGGCGTAAAGCGGCTGGCAATAGCTTGGCAGCCCGTGTGCTGCGCAAACTTGAGCACTGCACGCTGGCCGTACGGACGGGCCGAGATCGCAATCACGTCCTCCGGGTTCTCCACGGCCACGATCACGCGCGCCGCAAGCATGAGCTTCTCCCACGTCTTGCCCACGTTAATAATATGAACGCCATCGTTGCGACGACGCCAGATGTAGTCGGCCATCTTCGAGTCGGCATTGCGCGTCCCAATGTGGACCTGCGCGGCCAGCATCATCTTGATATCCTCTTCCCGTTGCGTCGTCGACATGCTGCAGTTGCGATGAGTGATGCCTGTTCTCTCCAGAGAGCGATGACTTGTGCGAGGCTTGAAGAGCGCGTGCGACGCTGACCACCAACCAATGATTCTCGTAAAAAACCTCGGGAACGAAAAAAAACCCGTGGCAGTGGACATCGAGGCGTGTGGTGTGTGGCAGACGCAATGTAGCTATTCTCAGATGGATACCGACAGTCAGATCGATAGATGGGTACACACGTTGCCTTTCACTTGCATGTTGCGAACAAGAAATAATACAAAGGTCGACCTTTTTGGTCAGAACAACATGAATGTGAAGATCGAGTCAAGTGTGCAGTCACTTGTAGCTGACGCGTTGGCAGAGTTGGGTGATGTATGGCAGATGATTGGACTATCGGAGCAAGAGCAACTGCAGGAACAGCAACAGTTGATTACGAGTGTGGAAACCTGCTGTCGAGTGAAAGTGGAGACGTGGCGGAACGAAGTCACGATGGCGAAAGAGCGAGTGACGGAGCTTGAGAAAGAGGTGCAGAAGATCAACGTGCAGCTTCAGGGCAATGATGTGGGCAGCAACTTAGCTTAAAAACATTAAGAACGCAGCGAAGCGCGCCTCGACTCAATTGTTGACTGTTTGATGGAAACTTGTAGTCCATAGGCTGGTGTATGCAGCCGCTGGAACATCTCAGCAGCGGCACACTGCGTGACCGACTGTCAGCACTTGAAATGGAGCACAAGCTTCTGGATCGGGTACGACGTTGAGTGTCTCGCTGTCTTTCATCGAAATTAGAAATAACCTGTGCTTGCTAATGTCTAGGTTCGCACCAGTCGACAGGCTGGAGTTGAAAAGTTGCAAGCCCAACTAGGTCGAATGGACAAGAAGCTAGGCACGACATCCGAGCTGGTGTGAAATGAAAGCTTTGACTGGAGTTTCTACACACATTCGTGACCTAGCGCTTATTTTTTGCATTGTGTATGTGTGGCTAGCCTTCTGGCATGGCCATCTTGAGCGAAGAATACAAGGAAGCTCTACACGATATGCTCAAGTGCAAGGCACAAGAAGTGGTGAGTTACACAATCGCTTCTGCCATCGTTTATTGTAATGTGGTCTGACTTTACCTGACCAGCACTCACGGAGAGCTGCCCTTCTAAAAATTGTCAGCGAGTGTGCGGAGCTCGCTCAAGAGCTTCAAATCGAAACGGATCACATTCTTGCGCCCGATCTTACTGCACAGTTGAAGGTAAATGTGGGCTGTGCATTGGTAAAAAGTCACAGTTGCTCATAGGGCCGTGGTGGTGTAAACAACTGGGCACTTATATGATACGGCGCGCGGTAGAAGCGAGACTTGTCCTCCAATCTGCTCGAGAAGATCTCACTCAGAACTATCGAGCTGCGAGAGGTAAAGAAAAAGCGGAAGTTGCGTCTGGCAGAGATGCTTGAACAGATAAGCGATCTCTGGCGGAAGTTAAAGGTAGCACATACAGCGTCAAACGATGCGTCGATCACTTGCACTTAATCTGAAACAGTCTCGCAATTTATTGTTGTCTGTAGATTTCCGACGACGAGCAGAAACGTTTTCACATGACGATCCATGGAATTGGCGAAGCTGCACTTGCATCGGTAAGGTCATCCATTGTTATTTATTTCTTGTGATGAGCTAACACTTTTATATGCTGTGCAGTGTGAAGCGGAGTTGACAAGACTGAAGCGTCACCACAAACGACATGCTGCTACTGTGGTCCAAGTCGCAACTTTGCGCAACGCCATTACTGAATACTGGAACCTTCTGGGCTACACTTCTGACCAGCGTGATTATTTTACTGCCATGATGACAACTCCAGACTTGGCGCTGTCGTACAGGGTCTTCCGTGCTCATGAGAAAGAAGGCGAAAGGCTGAGAAAACAGTTGTCTACGAAGAAGATCCTCTGTCAGGTACGTTTGCAAACTACTCGGATTGTTTGTTTACCTAAAGCTGCCGGGGTGATGACAGTACATCGTCAAACGCGAGGAAATTCTACAAGCTCGTGCGGAGTACGACCTATGCGCCATGTTGGCATATATCATCACGATTTGCGAAATTAATTTGCTGCTTTGTGCACACAGGCATGGTGTTCCCGACGAGCAAACGCGGCTACGAATTGAGCGTGATCTGCCAAAATACACTGACATCTTAGCAACTCGAATTGCAAAGTGGCAGAACGATACTGGTGTAGTCTTTCGCTGGAACGGTATCTTGCGGAAGCTTTGTGCTGATGTTGATGTCGACATGCTAACAATTGCTGCCGATTTGAAGGCGAGTCGTACCTGGAGCAAATGTGGACGGAGGACAACAAGACAGGTAAACAGGCTCACAACATCAAACGGGATCAGCCGCAAAAAAGGATAGTGCAGCAGGCACAAACAAACTTAGCCGGCTCCGATGGTCCTACCGATCGAAGGCGTCATGTTCAGGTAGGTCAAGCTTCATACATGCTTCAACAGATAGTATATGCGATGACAACGACTTGCTTTGGCGGATATTGCAGCAAAGTAATCGCCACTCAGTTGAAGAGCGTACTACTTCGCGTAGCTCTGTCGTGAAGGAGCAGTTGCAGCATCGCCGCTCTGACACACAAGTTTCGAATCGCCCCCGATGGCGAAAGTTTATTCGCAACACGTTTTCAAGACACGACGGCTCATAGACCTCGTCGCTCAAAAAAACTGCTGAGATGAACATATCCGCATATCCAGACACGCTTTACATTCTGAAGGACACTGGACAATGTGAGAGCCGTCATGTAATCTATTTACGTCCGTCAGCCACTATTCCCCCGCTACAAAAACTTGCAATTAGGGCTGGTACATTGGACGCGACTTCCATAGATAAGCTCTCGACCAGTCTCGGATCGTATTCTATATCGAAAGTAATCATCTCGAAGATACTTGATCGAACTCGTTGTCTGATTTGCTCTGTCGAAGGATAACCTGTAACTTATGTGCGCACATGACCAAGATCGTGTTACTTTTAAAATATATCACTTAAGCACTTCAAAACCCTCAAGTCTCTGCAAGCTCCGCATCGAGTCGATGCAAATTTTATGCTAGTGCTTTACTGGCTAGGCTTTGTGCTTTGAGGTCTTACTTGCTAGACAGTTCTGACACGGTGTGCAAACAAATGGACAGTAAGATGACTGCACGTTGCTATACTTAAGACGTTTGCAGGTTAAGACCGACAGGCAAGCTTTTTGCTTGACGAAGTAATCAGCCGTTACAACTGTGTGGATGTCCTAAGCGTAGGTCTGGCAATTCTATGATCGTTGGCAACAAAAGATTAGACAGCAGTCTAAATTGTTTTCGACCGACGATTACTTGATTAAAATTAACGTGTAAAAGGCCAGCCGGATGGATGTCTTGAGCGGCTTCAAATGCCTGCTTGCCGGTCTCCTTGCAGTACGAGCTAGAAAACTCAATTTGCTGCAACTCACAAGCACATGATAAGGGAGTGTCGACGATGAATGAACGTCCACGCGTTCTCTCTTACATTTTCGGCTGGCTATTGTCGGCTAGGTATTTTGGTAAGATACTGTGATTGTCCTGCACGACACCGTGGTGAATATCAAACATATTTGTACGACATACGACACACACGCTTGATCTGGGTTGAAGTGGGCACTCACGATTATA